GTCATATGTTAGACGATCATTCATGTGCCACTCTGGTCTCCTTCTGGTTATTTTAGGCTTCTAGAGGAGAGAGCAGGCTGTGTACCTACAGCAGACAAGCACAGGCTATCTAGTTCTTTTAGCACATGTGTCCTTCAGTGGTTGAAACAGCAGTCAACAAGGGTAGGAAGCAGGATGTCAAGATGTGGGATGAGCCTAGGGATGGGGACCGGCCTCACATGTACCAGGGAGCCAAAGGCTTGTGAACCCATGTTGGGAGGAAGATAGGTTGCATGGTGTGTTCTCAAAGTCAGAACTCTTTTTTCAGTCCAGCTTTGTACCTGTTTCTGAATCCAACTCTGAATCCCAGGTCACAGTTCATCAGGGAGGCCAAGGTAGGAACTCAGGGCAGGAACCTGGAGACAGGAGCTGGAACACAGGCCATGGAGGAACACGGCTTACTGGCTTGCTCCCTGGCCCCTGCTCAGCCTGCTTTCTTATGCAACGTAGGCCCATCTGCCCAGGGGTGGCACCACCCACAGTGGGCTGGACTCTCCCATATCACTCATCAAGAAGATGCCCCTCGACATGACCACAGGCCAGTCCAATAGAGGAAATTCCCCAATTGAGGCTCCCTCAACCAGGTGTGTCAAGTTGACAGTAAAGCTATCCAGCACAGTGATACATCTGTCAGGAGAGGTCACATGAGGAAGTGTGGGGAAAATAAGAGATTCAGTTTTGGAAGGGTGGCCTTGGAGGTACCTTCAGGTATAACACATCACCAAGAGACATTTGACTCTCAGGACAGTACAGAAGACCAATGACATCAGAAAGTTTTTCAGCAGAGCTGATCTGAATCTTAATCAGAACCAGGACTGCTGAGGATTTTCTGTCAAAAGGTGGAATACCATGTCCCAGACAATCTAGATGCCAAACCAGATACCACAATGGAGTCTGTGATAAAGTAAATGAAAACAGCTGTGTCAAAAATCAGGTGCAAGCAGACTCCTGCCCAGTGCCTTGCCTCAATAACTTGGGCCGCAGGGTAAGCCTGCACCTGCTCTCCTCACCTGTCTTCTCTGGTTCTCTAACATCTCACCATTTCAGGGTTGTAATTGCCAAATAAAGATACTAGTATCAAATGAGCTCTTTTCAGAGAGTGCTTGCTCTCCTCCCTAGCCTGCCTTGTTATAGGTTCTTCTTTTTAATTAAGGAAAATTCCCAAATTCAGAGAATCAGGCCTTCAGGTGATAACTTGACACAGGGGTCTCGTTCATCTTTTGAGTTTCCCGCTGGCTGCAATAGCCAAAAAAGAAGCACAGAAGATGCAGACTCTGATGTAGAGTTTGTTTCCATGACTAAAGTTATGAAGAGGCCTACGAAGAAAAAAGTGAAGGGCCAGCAGCAGAGACGCACGGAAACTCTGCCAGGAGGCCTCAGACTTACTGGCATGGCCCAGGTAGGGTTTGTGTTTTTTTTCCTTTTTTCTTATTCATAAAAATGCCTAATAATTCAGTCATTCCAGAAATAGCATCCGGTGAAGGTTTTGCTTCATGTTCACATTTTTAACTCATTCTAATTATGGGATATACATTGTAATTTTATTTCCTGGAGAGGGTCCCAATTTCTATTTTTTCCCTGTGTTCTCTGTTTTGGAAGAGAGGTTAGATTGCTAATATCAGCACAATATGGAGATTTAAGCCAAGTGAAGTTATCCTACAGAATGTCCGGATGGGAAAAAGACTTTAAATCTGTAGTTAGAGAAGTGATCAGGTAAGAGAACCTCTAATCTTTAGATCAAGCATCCATAAACTGTTACCCCTATAGCCAGAATTGCAAAAAAGGCACACAGATCAATACAGTATTGCTAAGGGTGATATTTTTAAATGAAATATTTCATTTCTTATTATTCCTTTATAATTTCATACATGCGCATAATGTATTTTGGGCATTTTTCTCTCCCATTAACCCTGCTGTCCCCGTCATTCCCACTGACCTCTTTATTCTTGCCAGCCATGGTAATCCCAGCACTTGGGAGGCAGAGGCAGGTGGGTCTCTGTGAGTTTGAGGCCAGTCTGGTCTATATAGTGAGTACTAGGCCAGCCAGGGCAGGTTCTTACTTCCATGATAAGCACTTTTTTGTCTCATATTTGCTAAATGTCATATAATTATATTTATCAAGTTTTCATTATCTAAAATTTAGGGCCAGGCATAGTGGCACACACCTATAACCCAACATTAGGAGACCAGAGCAGAAAGATTTCTATAAGTTCAAGGCTAATCTCATCTACATTATGAGTTACAGGCCATCAGCCAGTGGTACATGGTGATGTGTTCTCTCTTTGTCTCCCCTCCCTCTGACTCTCACTATATATACATTCATTTATATGTATATGTGTGCATATATATAATAAACATAGAGGACATTTGAATCTTTTGAGTATCTTTGAAAAGGAGCAGTTGTCAAGTCTCAGAGGTTTCCAGCTATATCAGACACATAAATAAATGGCAAACACCACAACTTCACTTACTCATATTTCCTTTGT